TGGCGATAAATTTTGTATAGTTTGCGAACTAGCTGGATAATAATATACAAACTAACCGATATACGCCAGTTTAGTGTGATGTAATTTTGGTTCAACTGATATTTAATTCTTACCAAATTTTAAATAAAAACATCATTAAATTTAACATTTACGTTTTTACTGTTTTTACTTTTTTCTAAATATTGTTTACAGGTCATAAAAATAGTTTAAAGGTATGCAATTGGTAACTAAACAATTATATATTTGATGCATGTTACCTACTTACTTTAGGAATATATTTATAAAAGTGAAAAATGATGTAATTTAGGTAAACAAAACGAACAAAATGCACTAAAAAAATGTACTGTCACTTTAATTGTCAGTGGAACCATAATTACATCATCACCAAAATAGCGTATTCTGTGATATATCACCCAACTGTATTAGAAATTCATTATCAAGTATGTTCATGTTTAAGGTATGTCTAGAGATCGTTTGTAAATTGGGGGGTAACTCTTTTATAATACACTTCAATGTTAAACAACCTCTGTTTAAAGTTGTTATGGGAGTCATATTGAGCTAGCCCACGATGAATGACAATTAATATAGGTGTTTTATCTTCCTCAAATCCCATATAAAAACAAAAATCAGTATGGCTTCAAACAGAAAGTAGTTCCAAACAATCTACCAGAGGTCGTTAGAAGGTGATGTACCCTTTATAAGAGCTAGATAAAGTATTAATGTTTCGTGTTTTAACATCAACATGTATCCAACTCCAAGCCCTGGCCATTAGATGATTGGTCAGTCATTTGACAGGTTATTATACTAATGTTCACGGGGATAGTTATTTGAGAGTTGAAGTGATGCTATGAACGTAAACTTATACGTGAAAACTGACATCTGCGCATGCGTATTTAAATATCTTTCACATTTACGTACATATGTAAGCTTACGGGCCCTGGCGTATGCACGTAACGAGAATAAAATAACCTCTTTTTAATTGGAAAAAAAGAAATCCTAATATATTAATATTACAATTATGTCATTATCTGTCATGGCACGTAAATGTCACGAAGCGTTTAACAACTTCAACTCATTTATGTTTGTGCGTTGACGTTCACGCTTACATTAACGTACTGGAAATACTTCAACTCTCTATTATACGTGTGTATAAAAACAAAAAGTATGCATCTAAAATAAGCAAAGTTCTAAAAAATCCGCAGTAGGTCCTTAGTGTTTTAAATCAAGATTTGGTTATTTTTGTGCGTTGACGTTCACGTTTACATTAACGTACTGGAAATACTTCAACTCTCTATTATACGTGTATATAAAAACAAAAAGTTTGTATCTAAAATAAGCAAAGTTCTAAAAATCCCCAGTAGGTCCTTAGTGTTTTAGATCAAGAATTGGTTATTTAGCTGATTGGTCAATCGTTTGACCACATACTTTGATTTTCTTTTACTATACGGAGAATGGTCGCACTGCGCAGCTTTCTTAGTGCCTTTTAAAAGGAGATAGAAAACTCCGCCATGTTGATCCCTTATTATGTGTTGCCTACATCTTAGCGCAATATTTTTAATAGGTGTGTTTTAATCATCCGCTTCTGCTTCGGAATTGTTGGTTTTCTTGTTTTAATCTGACAGGTTAAAACGACTAAACCGACAATTCCGGAAGCAGAAGCGGATGATTAAAACGCACCTGATATTTTGCTTGCTGCTGTCAGTGTCAGTAAATATTATTTTTGAAGTCACAGTTTATTGCTAAAGAATCAGTTAGCTCACTCGGACCAGTTGAAAGTTCCAAAATAACATCCACTCCAAGGATACAAATTCAGGATACACAGAAGACTGCTGTTTTATTATAGGCGGTTGTCATATATAGTATTATCCGAGATGCGCAGTGTATAAACTGGAAGATTGAGATCAAAAGTGCCGACGCCGAGTGAGCGATCTGATTCTTTAGCTATGAACTGGCATAAGAATCAAAAAGGCCGCGCCATATGTTGGGCGTGTCGGACCTCTATCTTGCACCGTATAGTAATCAAAGTATGTGCGTTTGACAGATTAATAAATATGTTTCATTAATGATTTTCATCTATCTGATTAATTGTTAAAGAGAGGACCTGGCCAAGGGTGGTATTTAAAAATATACAAATAATTAATTATTATTTTAATTAATGAGGGCTGATTCCACCCTTTGTGTTAAACGAAAATAAAAATGACATTTTTAACGTAAAAATGTAATTTTAATCTTCGTTTAGTAATTTAGACTTCGTTTAACATAACGGTGGAATCGGCCCTTAACTTTTATTTTACTTGGGGCCGATTTCACCGTTGTGTTAAACGAGCATTTATCTTTGTAATGTGTTTATTAATAATCTAAAATGTGACAGTTATAGTTTAATACCTACTCTTCTGTAAAACAAAACATCACAATGTCACAAACACCTATTTTTACAAAACACATTTGAACAATATTTACAATTTTGTAGTACAGTATACACACCATTTTCCTTATATTTAGCTATTGTTGTCTCGAACACTATAAAAATTATGAAAACTAGTAATGTCCTCACTTTGTTTTGATGAAATATGGGTTATCAATATTCGCTCTGTGCGCGACAGCAGCGCCAATTCGTTTTGGTACTAATGGACTATTTCTGCGTATACTGACAAATACAATTTTTAATAGAATTCGTAATTAAAAAGTATATATGTTAGTTTTAATAAAAGTATATGGATTCGTAAAACAAGTAAAACATTAATTTATTATTATTATTATTATTATTATTATTATTATTATTATTATTATTATTATTATTATTATTATTATTATTATTATTATTATTATTATTATTATTATTATTATTATTATTATTATTATTATTATTATTATTATTATTATTATTATTATTATTATTATTATTATTATTATTATTATTATTATTATTATTATTATTATTATTATATATTTTTATCGCTTAAATTAAAGAAAATTATGTATAATCAAAAAAAATCAATAATAAAATATAGGCAGGCAACAGTATTTACTGAAAAATGTATGAGAAGTTGCCTAAGTGTAATAAGTTGTCATTGAAGAATTAGTTTATTCTGTCAAAATAAAAAAATATCATATAATAATAGCGTGAAGTTAAAATGTATAAAAAAGGATGGTTATTTATATTTTCATTTTTGTTCGGAAGAAAACATAGAATGAATGATTAAAACTGGTTTTCCATCAGTAAGTCACAAAATTGCATTCCAGCCACACATAATAATAATGGCAATGGACACAAGAATGTTAAAATTGTTTTGAAAAGTTTAAAATCGTATTAACTTCTGATTTGTTGCTTACTCGCTATGACCCTAGCTTATCAATTACAGTAGCTGAAGACGCATGTTCCTATGGTATTCGCTCCGTGCGCGACAGCAGCGCCAATTTGTTTTGGTATTAAAGGACTATTTCTGCCTATACTGACAAATACAATTTTTAATAGAATTCGTAAATAAAAAGTATATATGTTAGTTTTAATAAAAGTATATGGATTTGTAAAACAAGTAAAACATTAATTTATTGTTATTATATATTTTCCCGCTTAAATTAAAGAAAATTATGTATAATCAATAAAAATCAATAATAAAATATAGACAGGCAACAGTATTTACTGGAAAATGTATGAGAAGTTGCCTTAGTCTAATAAGTTGTCATTGAAGAATTAGCCTATTCTGTCAAAATTAAAAAATGCCATTAAATAATAGCGTGAAGTTAAAATGTATAAAAAAGGATCGTTATTTATATTTTCATTTTTGTTCAAAAGAAAACATAGAATGAATGATTAAAACTGGTTTCCCATCAGTAAGTCACAAAATTGCATTCCAGCCACATATTATAATTAAAGGCAGAAATCTTGAAATCTAGTCCTTGTTGAATGAACATTTAAGAATAAAGGAATATTAGAGAACATCGTAAAATGATAATTTATTGTTTATTTAAAACTTTTCAAGTTTCTGATTTCTACTGTTTCCAGCATTACTGTTATTATTACAAAAATAAAGGTAATTTGTCTTCTTATTGTACACCTATCCATTTATTTCTTTGATTTAATTTCCACTTTGCTATTGACATTTTTTATATAAGTTTCACTGTTATTTGCTAGTATTTGTACAATTTTCAACACAGCAACTCCGGTTGCTTATTGTATTATTTTTACCTACATTTTTGGAAAAAAAGTAAAATGTATACGTTTATTTGATATGCCAAAATTACAAAATATCGCCCTAAAATGCACGAATTATCCGCAGGTAGCGCTAGTATCGCTTTTGCTTCCCTTTCCACGACTTCGCACGGAGCGAATAGGTGTATGTGGTAGTATTTTTTCTCTCGTTGTTTTCACTTTTTAATTCGTTGGTTACACAAGATTTTGATTAGTAGACATTAATAAATTACCATTATTTTTAAAAATCAGATACAGACGTATTTTTTACTTGATAAAGCTAAAATTAACTGAATTTTTCAGTCAGTTCGCCGTCATTATTTGTTTTCATTTGCGGTTTGTGGTACCTCAGTTTCTACCGTACCTCTGGTGGATTTTTTAGTACTATACACAATTTGGTGCCATATTTTAAAAAGAGTTGAAATACCTGTAAAATGTCATTCATCGTTGGCTGGCCCAGTAAAAATTTTAACAACAGTTGTATCTGAATTGTCAGTTGTAACTTAACTATCATTATTTTAAGTCACATTTAGAAACTTGTAATGGTGGTGTCAAATCATATTTGATTTTAAGTTGTAAGACGTAGTAAATTGCAGTATATCATAAAACGTTGTACGATACACGCCCGTTACCTGATCTCTACATGCTCGCACATTCATATAACGTGCTTGTTAGCGCTCGCACATTAACGACCGTACTTGCATGTAAAGATTTAGGTAACAGGCTTATAACGTAAACTACTATTAACAAGTTGTCATTTTTAATAAATTTGAATTGTGTTTATTTACTTAATGCTGATTTTTTCCAGAAAGGACAAAAAACGAATCTTATATTTGGTGCCAATGCTCCAGAAATTACCCGCGTATTAATTGATGAAATAAACAAAGAACGACGCTCCATGGAATCAGGTATTGATAGACCTGAACGTACTGAAATAACGGAACTGCATGACATTGAAGTAGGCAGGTATCAAGAATCGCAGCTAGCAAAGAAATTGGCCAAAGAGAAAGAAGAAGCCAAGAAAATTAAAAATATTCGCGATAGAAAAACTAATGAATGCAAGAATATTTTGAATAATCTGTCACTAGGCGTAATACTTATTTTTCCATGTGCAAGAGACAGATACACGGACTGCATAAATGATTTTTTAAAAGAAGCTAGTTGCACGGCTGTCGCACAAGAAAAGGTATATTTTAAATTATTAACGAACATTTTGTTATCATATAAACACTATATCGGTAACTTATTATATTCTACACTACAGCAAATGTTTAGTATTAAATTAAATTAAATTAAATTGTGGAATAAAATAATGGAGTTCATTAAATTTTATGAGTTGGCCATATTTTTTTCTAAGGTATGGAACCAAACAAATATTAAAAGGGAAACGATGATATTGATAAAACTTTACAGGTTAATAGGTTAATAGATCTTTTCAATTTCGCCCACACTGGATTTATTAAGAGCATCTGTAAAACTTTTAAAGATACAGGGGTCTATTCTGCGAAAATTTGGTTTAAATTAACCCTGGGTTATAAAAATAACCGGATGTTATTTTAAATTTTGTATTCTCTATTACTTGGTTATAAATTATAATTTAGGTCAGTAATAAATCTAGTATATATGTCAAATATATTTTTTTTCTTACTTTTAAAGCTACGTTGGGCTTATAGTCCGTTGGGAAGCCCGGTCTAGGAAGTAGAAAAAACTAAGATATAACCAAATGGGACCTTCACCATTTGAAAAACATGTTTTTTTACATTGAAAATGGAAATTGACGATTTTCTACATTGGTTGAGATTAAGAATTATGGGCAAAAAACAAAAAAAAATTGTTAATTTTCAACACTCGGTAACTTTTTTACTAAAGAAGTTAGAACAACAACTTTTTTTTGATTTATTTCTTATTCGATTTCCTTTCTTATAATGTCTTTGTTTTTACAAAAATGTTGTAAACTATATTAAAACAGTAATATTTAAAAATAAAACAATATGACAATATTTAGTATTTTAACTGTGCAATTTAATGAGCTGCATTTTGTCTCGATTAATACGCGGTCTATTTTTAATAATAACACCGCTAGCGGCTTTTAAACGTGGGGGCGCCTGGCTCGGCGGCAGGATTGATTGCGGTTTTTTCCATAATGATCGCTACACTTGTGGCTGCACTCTTGTCTAGTTACTTAGTATTTTTGCACCTTCCAGTGAAAGATCATATGTTTTCTTTTAAAAATTCTGTGTTTTGTATAATTTATACTTTATTGCTGAAACATTTGTGGTGTTTATTATTAAAAATAGACCGCGTATTAATCGAGACAACATTCAGCTCAATAAATGGCGTAGTTTTTGAAAAAAATAAAAAAATAAATAACTCTTTGCATAAGAAAGTTATGACAAGGTGGGTTAAAAAAATATTGTAATTTGTTGTTTTTTTTTTAAATACTACTATTTTTTTAAAATAATTTACAACATTTTTGTAAAAACAAATACATTAAAGAAATTGAATAAGGAATAAAACAAAAAAAAAATTGTTGTTCTAATTTCTTTAGTAAAAAAGTTACGAGTGTTCAAAGTTAATAAAAAAAAACAACTTGTTTTTGTTTTTTGCCTATATCTTGTAATGGTTGGAACCGTTATTTTGACACAACCATCTCTTAAATGTCATTTGTCGTCTTCTTCCTTTATTCGTCTTGTGAGAATTATTTTTGACTTGGATGACAACGAATCAGTTTGATTTGATTTTTAATATATCTTGGTCATCCGATGTAAAAATGATTTTAATCTCTCGTAAAATCCGTCTAATTTTATAAGGTAAGTTTTAATAATAATATATTGTTAAAAATATTTATTTTGTACAAGAATTTTTTAAATAAATTGTCAAATTTTGAACACAACCTCAACAATGGATAACACATGTTTTTTTTTCTCTTGGGCTCGTCTGACTATGTGTCTCTGAATAACACTGAAGCCTATTGGCTTATTGTGTTTTACCTCATGTTAGTTCATAGCACCCACTCTATCACCTTTGTACCTTGTACAAGTTTGTACATATCCATGGGTAAGTGGTTTCTATACGTTGTTGGATCAACCTGATGTTGTCCAAAAAGAGCCTGTCTTTTGCGATCTAAAGCTTCGCATTCGCACAGTATATGTTTGGCCGTTTCTGGTTTCTTGTGACATAGTCCACATAAGTTCCCCATTGTACATGCCAATTTTGTTCAAGTGTCCCTTTACTGGGGCGTGCTCAGTCATGAACCTTGTTATCACTTTCAACTGGTTCCTATTCAATAAGAGTAGTTCTCCAGTTCTTTTGGGACATGGTCTGGCTATGAAAGCTTTTCCATGTGCCTGTTTTGGGGTGCTTCCCCAATAGTTGACATGTTGTTCCCGAATTCAGTCATTTATAAAACCCCGGACTGTAGTTTTTGGTACTCCTGGGTTTGTGTCTGGTTCCGGTGTTTCTTCTGACCCTGTTTTTGCAAGTTCGTCCGTCTTTTCGTTGCCTTCGATCCCTTTGTGACCTGGAACCCAAAATAGTTTTACTCTATTTCGGTCTGCCAGTGTTCTTAGTTATTCGATGCATTCCCATACCAGCCTCGACTTAACTTTTTGACTTAATATGGCCTTAAATGCCGCTTGGCTGTCTGACATTATTTTAATATGCTGATTTTCAACAGCTCTTTCATTATTCGTTTTTGCACATTGCAAAATTGCGTATACCTCGGCCTGAAATACCGAGGCATATATTCATATAGCATAGCTATGGTTAGTATCAGGATTTTTGGAGAATACTCCTGCCCCAGTGCCTTTCGCAGTCTTAGACCCGTCTGTATACCAGGTTTGTTCCTGTCGTTGGGCATTGGGCTCCCTTATGGTGATCTCCGCTCTTTCCTGTATTAAAACCTTAAAGGGAGTATTAAAAGAGTACCTCTTGGTTAAGTGGTCTGATCTCATGTCTGGCTCGTCTCCTGTCACTAACCTTGAGATACTTATGTGATCTGGCCTAATGTCAAGATTTCCCAGTGTAATCCCTAATCTGTAAGCACCTAATCTTGCCTCCCCTTGTATCACATAGTGAAGAGGTGGGATTTCTATTAGTGCTTCCATTGCAGCAGTGGGGGTTGTTTTCATTGCCCCAGTTATTCCGAGGCAGGAAAGTCTTTGTACCTTGCTTAGCCTCGTTATTGCTTTCCTTTGCTGTGTCTTTGGCCACCACACCAAAGCTGCGTATGTTATTATGGGTCTCACCACCATGTTATAAAGCCAGTATACCATGTCTGGTTTTAACCCCCATTTTTTTCCAAAGGATCGCCTTGCCATCATTAATGAGGTTTCCGCTCTCCTTGTGGTTCTTTCTAGATGCTGGTTCCAGATAAGTCTCGAGTCAATCATAACCCCGAGATAATTTACCTCCCCCTTAAGCTGGATGCTTGCACCTCTTAGGTTTAGAGGCCCTAGTCCCTTCAATTTCCTCCTGTGGGTGAATGCAATTATGTCAGATTTATTTGGGCTAATGTTTAGTCCTTCCGCCTCTGTCCATTTTGTTACTATATTTAGAGCCTCTTGCATTAGATCTCTTACTATAGTGTTGTATTTTCCCTGTACCATGATCACTAGATCATCGGCATATCCCAGGGTTCTTTGTCCCTTATCTTTGAGAGCCCCAAGCAGCCCGTCCACTACAAGGTTCCACAGAAGTGGAGACAGCACTCCACCCTGTGGACATCCTCTCGCTACCCGTGCCGCTGTTGTCTCTCCCATAAGGGTTGTGTGTATAGTTCTCTCCCTTAACATAGAGTCGATCCAGGACACGCATGTGTCCTCGATTTTATATAAAATTATATATTATTTTTTTTGGAATAAGATATTATGCTTTACTATATTTAAATATACCTTTTAAGAGGAGTATTTACTTGGCTGTAGCGCGGAGCATGCAAGGGTTTCGTAGTACCCCACTTTTAAAGTTTATTTTTGACTTTTTCTGAAAGAAAAAAATATGTACGCATAGGTAAAAGTTAAATCTGTGCTCCTCTGGAGACACTTTTTTAAAATTTGATTCAGTTTTTTATAAAAAAAAAATACAAAACTCGACTTTTTTTACCCATTTTCTCAATTTTTTAAAAAAAAACTATATTAAATTTTGAAAAAGTGGTTCCAGAGGAGCATAGATTTAACCTTTACCTACACGTACATATTTTTTTCTTTTAAAAATAGTCAAAAATTAACTTTAAAAGTGGGGTACTACGAAACCCTTACATTGCAAGATTTTTCGTCTGGGAAGTGGCGCCTCTGTTAGATTTTTAAGAAATTAATATTTGCGAATGAAAACAATTTATAATATATTTTACTGATGTTTTACGAGGGATAAATAAATTTTACCTATTTGTACACCTTATTTTTTACGTAAATCAGTTCTGTAATACTAGGATTGGCATATATGAAAGGGTTCATAGTACACTAAGTTTACGGATTATTTACCTCTATGAAGAGTCACTTTAAAAATTTGAATCAGTCTCTTCCGAAAAAAAATCTAAGAAAAGAAATAGAAATGTTAAAAAATGCTAGAAGGGAACAATATATTTAATTTTTGCCTACAGGAGCATTTATTTTTCTTACAATAAAAATAGAAATACATTGAAAGCATTTTCGTCTAGAGGGTAACACCAAAAAAATATATCTTTTTCTACTATTTAGTGGTTTGAATAAACATATGCAATATTCTAAAAGATAAATCACATTTTTGTGATTATACAAAAATTTTATTTATTTTTCCAATATAATATGGATTGCCCTCTAAAATATATATTTATAGTGGCTCGCAAACAGTCTGCTTTTTATATGGAAAACTTTTTCTTGTTACTTTTATCAGAAAATGTCATTCCTGATAAAACTTGATGTTTAATTAAACCTACAACTTTATTTATTTAAAAAATTCTGTATCATAAATATAAATTTGGCTGTACAGTGAACTAGGTACTCTTCTAGAAACCGAACCTACATTTTTACATATAAAATGAATTTAAAAAAATCTGATGTGTCCAACACATGACTTTCCTATCTAGTTATTATAGGCATTTTCCGGTTATTTTGTACAACCTATTGCAGCATCTCTATAAATGTTTAGAGGATATATACATTTTACACATACATATACCTCGAAACATTTTTCTATAGATATTCATTGAAA